ATTCGTCACCAGTACGTTTCAGATCCCGGCGTCATTACATGCTTTCTTAAAAAGTAGACTTTTACAAGTGCTCTTATTTCTTTTGCGAAATGTGCCCTTTAGGCATCGAGAAAGAAGTACATAGCCTCGAAAACCATTAAAACAGGTTGGAGGAATTATCCGTTTATCAGTTTACTAATCAGCATTTTAATTATTGGTATAATTACGCTTCTGACGTCGAAAATGGAACTGTATGGCATTTACAAGATAATTAATGCTGTTCTGGTCATGGTTTAAATACAAGGCAAAGAAAGTGTATTTTATGTCATGGTGAAGCTCAGCAGACAAAGAATTTACAGCGCAACTCTTCGATAGAACCAAATTAGAACCAGATTACAAATCGACAATCTGCAAATATGACCACAGCATAGTGCTTCACTAGGAAAAAAATGGAAAATACTTACCAATGGAATGTCGGTCTTCCTTAATCTCCAAAATTGAGCCGTTTTGCACTCTTCTTTTCTTGATAGTATGATTTTGATTTTTCGTTTCTATGTTATCAGCTACGAGGTCCTGCGAGCCACATAGACGTCACAACGAGGGAAGGAAAAGGGAGAATGGGAGAAAGCACACTACGCTTGCTACATTCGTTTGAATCATTCCAGAGTAGGTAAGACTCAAATATCATTGATTCTGATGTATTCATGCTACAATACGTCTCGATTACATTACAACTCACTACAATTCAGCGCAATCTGTAAAGTAGAAAAAATATGCAAAATGAAAATATGTTGCCAGAAATTATCAGATACGAAAGCGTTGTTCCCTCATTCAAGTGAAAAATAAAGTATGGCTCGAAGTGTTGGTAAATTATGCAATGAAATCCAGATGCGGCGTAATTTCCTAAGAAACACGAAACTATAACTCACTTTTGTGCGGAAAGGATAATCTGAAATTTGAACGTTCATAAATAATTAATACCTGCTGATCTTAAGCATAGTATGCCACCCCGAATAAAGTTAGTATCTGTCTCGGATGGAGTTCAACGCTGAATTTTACCATCGGATTAATAAACTTGTCCTTTCTGGAAGCAGCGAAGCTAGCAGTGAGCTAAAAAATATAATTGAAGAATTGCTAATTTATTACCGTAAGAACAATATTACGGAATTATGGCCCCAACCTGCGGAACCGCTGGAAAGCGACCCGTCGGTGCAGTGTAACAGGTGAGTGATAGTGAAAATTATGTCTGAATGGAGAAGACACGTTACGTTTACAGGCGATATGAGCGATGGATGCCACCGATGCGAAGGGAGGCGTCGGCGGAACATGCCGGCGGTTCTTCGCCCCTGAACTTGCAGAACTCGGCACTGGTTGAGAGTGGAGGCGACGAAACGCGAATCGGACAGCGATCGGAGAACATATCCCCAGAGCCATCGTTAGCGTCTGCGACTGCCTCGAGAGATTACGACAGCGATGGTGACACGTTGATCATCGTCGAGCAAGGTGTCGTCTCTTCCTCTAAACCTTATAAGTCCAAGTCATCAGAAACCTCAGGCAACGAGGTGCCCTCTAAGCGCCCGTGCATCGCGACGGAAGATACACCGACCAAAACTAACGCTGATATCACGAAAGGAGC